GTAGGGAGGATGAGGAAGGACAGAAGAGATGGTGGGAGGATGCCTCGGAGACACCCCAGCACGGATCAGATGGAGGCATCTACAGGAACAACATCATAGAGCTAGTCCTGCCTTGGCCCAGGTATTGATGGGGCCCCTTGGGCGTCTTTCCCCCCAGCCCCAGCAGCGATGCTGGGTTCACCTCAGCCTCTTTGGAGGTCGCCTGAAGAAAGTTTTACTCTCTGCTTCCTGCAGAGGATCCTTCCAGGCACTTGTGATAGTGAATTTGAATCTCACTTTCCGTGACTCTCTAGAAAGACTTTTTTGTTTTGTTTTTCCTCTTTAATCCATCAGAAAAGGTAGAACAAGAGCCAGCGGCTGGAGGCAAGAGCCGAGGGTTCATTCAGTAAAGGTAGAAAACACGCATTTTTTAACCATGAGATGCGATGCAATCACTAGAAATGACTCCGAAGGAAAGTTTGGGCTTCTCGAGCCGTGAGCGTCTGGAAGCTCTTTTGGAAGAGCTGCTCCTGTCAAGCATGAGCTATCGATCCCGCCGGGGAGTTAAGAGGGTGAAACGCTCCGGCTCGCTGTTCGTGTGAGCTTGCAAAGTGAAGAGCTGGGTTCTGGCTGCGGGGTGCGTGGATGGGTGGCAGCTTCCCTGTGCCACTGGATGTCAGGGACAATTCCTGCCAGGAAAGTGGATCTGTAGAAGGCAGATCCACTTGGTGCAAAACTATTTACAGGTTTTAACCCAAACAACAAGAAACAACAACAAAAAAGTAAAGCAATGTTCTCATCTCTGCTTCTCAGGGCATCTCAGGCCCTTATGTGGACTAGTTGCCATGCTCATCTGTGGGATGCTTCCCTTTCCAAAATCCCACTGCTAGGAATCTCGGAAAACCTCTCTGGAACTAGGAAGGGCGAACATCAGGCATGGAACTTGTTCTGGTATTTTGGAATGCCTTCCAAGTTTGTTGAGGCTGTGAAGGAAGGGGACTGTTGGTGTGAGGTGCTGTGACTGCTGGACTGCTTAGATGGTCCTTGGGTTCCCTAATTGCGCCACTGCTGTCAGCTCTGGGTGAAATGAGGAAAGCAGGGAGAGCTGCAAATCTAATCAGGGGTGGGGAGAGGGAGAAGCGCCTGGTGGCATCATCTTTGCTCTTGAAGCTCAGTGCTTGCGGCCAAGTACTCGCAGGCATCACAGGCCAAGGATGATGGGAGGCTCCTGGAAGGGCCTCTAAAAGGGAGGGGCCTCTTTTTTTTAAAGAAGGCCTCTTTTTTTTAAAGAAAAAACAAAAAAAAACTGCCCAGAAAAGTTTTAGTGGCTGTGGTGGAGTGGAGATGTTGCCTCCAGGTGCCAGAAAGAGCCAGATGCCTCTGGGGAGGAACATGCTCCCCCACACACACTGCTCTTGGGCTTGTTTTAGCTGAGCTGGGCAGGTGCTCAGCTGCCTTTAAAGCCCCCAGTAGGTGTGATGAGAGGTGGGCACCTGGCTACCTCTGCTAAGCATTTCAAGACTTATTAAATTTAATACTGACGGTGCTTTTGAGCATAGTACTTCTAAAACAGCAGGCGCAGGGGGGTGTCATGGTTCACTAGCAGCAAAAGCTGTTCAAAAAGGGGTTTTCCTGCAAGCATCGTGGCAGCTGCCAACAAGAGGGCACCTTCATGCCCCAAAGCGTAGCCAGAAATGTGAAAAGCTGATTTGTGTTCTGCATCGGATCCGACACCACAGTGGGGGCTCGAGCATGCTTTGCTTGGAATCAAGTTAAAAATCTTCTTTCACTTTCCGGTGGGAAAATAGGGCCAGGAGAGGGGGCTTGGCGAGGGGTGAGGCTCCAGAAATATTTGGGGAAATCCAGAGGGCAGAACCGCCGGGACTTTTCTGTTATTCGGGTGCCATCTACTGGTTTCAGGCTACAAAAATATCTAGTGGCAGCTGGAAAGCCCCACGCAGCGCCAGGTGTGCACAGGGCCATTCCCAGCCTTTCCTGTGGGCTAATAGATCCAAATTAAAATCCAGATGTTCCCTGGGAAGCTCCGTGGCTGCTGGCACGGAGGATGAGTGGCCAGAGCACCACAGGAGTGTCCCATAAATGCGCTGCAAAGCGAGAACGATGTCTAAGCTGGGAGCGATGCCAGGGTCCCCTGTGGATCTATCGGGCCTTTGCTCTGCAGCAGGAGGTGACGTGTGCTTTGTTGCCTGATTTTTGACAGGGTTGTTTTGGTCTCAGCATCATGGTGACTCCTGGAATTATGGTGAGCCTTAAATTCTGTTCTTTAAACCCCGTATCCTGAGCTCATGTGAGTGCTAGGAGGAGAAAAAGTACATTTCTGTCTGCCTGCAAAAGTCAAAAGGATGAGACTCAGGCTAAGACTTCAAGGCTGAGAAAAGCAGAGGGCGCAAGGAGAGAAAGCCCTGTCCGTCTGGAGCCTATTGCAGTAACGGGTCTCTGCTCACGGTAAGGGTGCCATTCTGGGACGATTCACGGTTCAGGAACATTTAGGATGGCTGGACTGGGGCTGTGACTGCTCAGAGGTACATCTGGACCCTCAGGAGAGATGGTCCTGCTCTCCCCACCACCTAAGGAAGAGGCACATATTTAATTTGAAGTCAAGTGACAACTCCTGGGCTTGCAGTTAAGACTGCAAGGAAAGTCTGTGGCAGTGAAGGTTAATGCAAAGCCTGCAAATACCATGCAAAAATCCAAGTTTTGTAGGCATCTAGATTTTTCAAGCGCTGGAGCCATGCATGCTAATGCAGAGGGAGGCAAACTCCCTGCACCAGACTGCATCTATGCGTGAAAAGACTCGTTTCCCTTCTTTGCACTTTGCTGTTACTGTCAAAATCTTGTGCACAGCTGCATATACCCTGTGGTGGCAACGTAAACGAGAGGAGTTTGACCCGTGAGGCCCCGTCCTTGCAGCTCCAGCCCGTCCCAGGGGAAGGAAACAGCCAAGTTCTTACAGCGCAAGCAAAGTGTTTAACAGCACATTCCCCAGTGCAGCAAATGGGTGCTGGGTCTGCAGTGAGATGTCTTTGCTCGGGTTCACTTCTCTGGTGGGGCTGAGCTTGCTTGCGGGGCTTTCCCCATCCCTACAGGGTGACATGGTAGGACAGGGTCCTCATGGTCATCCGCTCTTGATGCAGTTGAAGGTGATGGAGGCTGGATCTCTGCTGCATGGGGATATGGGGCCGTAGCAGGGTGCAGTGTGTGAAAACCCGGACTCTGCCCTTTGCTCTGCCAGGGTGGCTGGGCTGTGCTTTGGGCTCAGTTTGCACCCGCTGAGCATCCGGCCCTGTAGAGCTTCATTCCCTGTTAGCCAGACTGAGCTGGGGGTATCCAGCCCCAGAGAGAGCCGCGCGGATGCTGCCGCGGCGCTTCAAGCTCCTCCGCAGCCCGGCTGGAGCCAGCGGCGAGCCGGGCCGCGAATCCCTGCCAGGCCCTTACAGGAATCGTCTGTGCCGTGTCCCCAGGCCCGGCAGCGCTCTCCCGCGAAGGGGCAGGAAAGCGGCGGCTCCCGAAAGCCCCCGCCGAGCTGGCAGCCCGCCCCGCGCAGGGCGCGCGTCCCTTGTCGCTGCACCCAAGGCGAATTCCGTCCTCCCTGCAGCCGGCGATAAATAGAGCTTTTGAAGGTTGTAATTTCTCGCGTAAGCGATGCCAGTCACAAATACTTTGTGCTGAGGAATAACCCCCCGGTGCCAAGCAAAACACAGTGGAAGTCTGCGGCGTGTTTTTCGGCGTATTGTTAGCTCCAGCCCTCCTGACAGAGCACATTCTGTGCCGAAGATAAATGCTGGCGCCGCTCCGGCCAACGTGGGTCCAAAAGGGCTTTTTCTTGGATGTCCTCTTCCCCATGGAAAATGCTTTTCTGTTTTTCCAGCATGATGCTCTGTGATGCCCACAAATAGACCAGCTAGTGCTTTCAAGGGTAACTATATAATATTTAGTGTGTACCTTCATACAGCCTCCTTGTCGTTAGCTTATTCCCCAAGTCGCAAAACTCAGCAGCATGACTGGCACGACCGCAGTGTAAACTCATCCTGCTTCGGATTTGTTCCAAGGCGACTTGCTTTTTGTTAGAGCCCTGCTAAGTGTGGGGCTATGAGATGGTGCAGGAACAAATAGATTGGCACAACCCTTCCTCCAAGAGCGGGTCTGGCCAGGACAGGCAAAGCAAGGAAAGAAATGGATCCAGAGTCACTTAGGAAGTTGGAGCCAGAGACCTCCTGGCTGCGCTATCCCTGGCTTTGTGTTCATGCTGCTTTCGTCGCTGTCTCCCAAAGTTTTTCTGACTGACAGAGCTTCCCAGAGAGCTGGGTACATAGTGGAGGCTCCAGGGAGACTCTGGTGGAGTCCTCATGAGCTCATCCCGTCAACAACCCAGCTTTCCCCTAGGGAAAGATCCGATGTGCTCATGCCGCTCAACCCTACACCAGATGTTCTTCTACCTCCTCTGAAGGACCTCTCATGTTGGAGGAATCTTCTGCATTCCTACCATCAAATGTCCTCTGTCAACTTGCATGTGGCAGAAGGTCCCTTGCTGATCCCAGGAGGCCTCGGTCAGGAGCAAAAGCCTTCATTCTGCCATTCCGCAGGAATCATTTGAAGTTGGGATGGTTTGAAGCCTGCGCTTAAATTTTGTGTTAAATGGGGCCCTGAGGCTGGGCGTGATCTTTCTATTAATCTAGAAATACTGTTTTTGCAGTGAAAAACATGACCTGGATGCTAGTGGTTTTGTTCAATTGTTTTTTGTTATTTGGATAACATTTTTCCAAGATTCCGCTGCAATTGATATTCACATTTCAGTGGATTTGGGCTTAGAAATACTTCTTACTAGACTTATTCACTTTAATTATTAGTAAAAATAGACTGAAATAATGAGGAAATGTTGATTTTTGCCAGAGGGTTGATCAAAAAATTGTAAGATGTTTTCTTGGGAGAGCAAAAAATCTTAAATTTTCTCATTACAAGTAATTGGCATTTCTGGATGTGACTGACACAAGAAGGATTGAAAAAAATGCCCGTCCTAGCAGGCTAGGGAAGAGGAATTTGCTTTAACAGGCAATACACAAGAAGGATGCAGCACTGCAAACCCAGCACGCTGCTTTGCCAATGTGTCTAGACAGCCCATCTCCAAGGGGGAGAGAGGCTTATTTCTTGGAGCCGCTCCATCTTTGGCTGCTCTGATGAGAGAAGACCGCTTCATGGTCTCCTGTATCGACAGAGACTTTGCATCCCAGCTTAGGATTTGTGCTGAGCTTGCCCAGCCGTCACCGTGTGCCGCTAAATCATTCACCACTTCAACGCGCTGCTGTGCTAGGTGAGGATGTGGCTAGCCCCAGGCTATGTGAAGGCACTGGACGTGAATCATTTTTTGAACCTTCAAGAAGGCTTAAGTTCTGGGAAATAGTGCTAGAAAGGCGACATTCATCTGCTTGCCCTGCCCCAGCCTGGAAGCGGTGCTTTATGGCCGAGATATCCTGTGTCTCCTTTCAGGCCCCCTAAATCATCTGGTCTTCCAGGTAGAGCATCTGACATTTCAGCCTGATTAAGGACAGCAATAGGCAAATATCAAACAATATATTCATCACCTGGAGGCAACTATTATTACTCAGTGTTAGGGAGTGTCAATTCCAACATATCGCTCGTTGGTCCCAATTCACAGGAGCTCTGATGATAATTATTCTGCCTCCTCTTCTGGGAATTGTTCTTTGCAAACTACAGCGTGCTTTGTGGAAACACAGAGGTTTCCATTTTTCATCCTTTTGATTTAAAATCTCCAGATGATTGTTCGCCTTTGGCAGGGAACCATTCAAAATACATTCCAAAATATTAATCATTCCAGAAGGCTAAGAAACATAAGATGTAGCAATTTATTAGCTAATGTGAAATGCATTCGCCGTGCAGAAGGGGCTAAGGATGGAGGTGGGTCTGAGTCCAGTTTCTCTTTGCATCACTAGAAGGCCGGAGAGTTGCGCTTGAGCCTGCAGAGCTGCCCACTCGTTGGGTCTGCGCACACAAACCCTCGAGTTGTCTTATTTGTTGCCTGGTTTGGCACGAAAGACTCCCGGCAGAAGGCAGCAGCCACCTTCTCCCTCCTCCACGTCCCTCCATCTTTGGGTGCTGACCTGAGAAGTGCAGGCTCTTGCCCTGGACCAGGGAAGGAGAAGGAGAGTTATATTTCGAAACGGCTCAGAGCACTTTAATCCCTTCGGCTCTTGTAGCTGTGCAGGATATAAAGGCCCTTTATCCCACATCCCTGGAATGTGTTCCCTGTCTGGATGCTTGGAAAAGACAGGTGGCCTGGATGGTCACAGCCAGGCTCAAGTTCTGTTATTTCTGGATCTCGCATGCCATCGTTTTTCCAGTGCTGATCAAGAGGGACCCATAAAGTGCATTAGTGGTTAAGATCTGGATTTCCAAGTGAAGTTCTGCAAGCACCTCCAGTGTGATTTGTGTGTTACTTGGTAGGGGCGGTGGCAGTCATGGTTCGGTTTGGTCAAAATACATTTGTTCTTGGATGCTAATGAAAGGGAAAGACGGCTTTTGGTGATCAGTTTTCAATGTTCTCACTTTGGTTTGTGTCTTCCCGTCTCCCCCAGCAAGCAATTGATACCCTATTCTTCCAGACGAGTCAATCTAGAGCTCAGCAGTGACTGTCACAAGAGCTGTTGTGGGAGGTAAGCTGGAGTCTGCTGGGCTTTGGCTCTTTGAGGCCTCCCTATTCCACCGATAAACAGATGAAATATCTATTGAGAGTCATGTTTCTCTTGCCAGTGGCGCCAGCTGGCACGTGCATCACATCGGCCACGGTTTGTATGTTCACACAGGTCCTGCATACAAAAAAACCCACACGTCCAAGTGAATTTCCAGACTTGGGATTGTGGGCTCTTCAGTAACAGTGCTTCTCAGCAGCACGGTGGGGCTCTGCAGGGACCTCTGCAAGCAGAAGCATCCGTGAGTCAGGTCCGCTTGAGTCAATCTTTCCCAGCACGGGCGGGAGGTTTCTGGGTAATGTCCACCAGCTCTTGCGGCTGCTGCAGTGTTTGGAAATGAGCCGTTTGAAAAGCCCAAAGTGCCAAGTGGTTCCTTTGCAACATATACATGGACTCAAAAATAAAAAATTCCCTCCCAAAGCAGCTCTTTCCTGCTTTGGCAAGACCATTTCTTTTACACATTGCTGTTTTGTACAAAAACGTCTCTAATCTTCTCTGTTATTACTCAGTGAGGTTTGGGTGGATTTTTTCTCTTTTAATTACCAGAGGAACTTTTTGAAGGGAATGTTGCACTGAGTTTAGGTGCCTTTTCAGTGGTTGGAAGAGGGGACTGTGATGTCCCGGCTTCATGCCAGGTAGCCAACGTGTCCTTCTAGGCCAGTGTTGGCAGGAAGACTCAGCAGTGCAGGATGCATGGCCTTCAGGAGAATGGAGTGTGAAGTGTTTCCATCTGCTTTGGCATCAGGTTCCTCTTTGAGGGCTGAGAAGAGGGGAGATGTACTTCCTCTCTGAGCTGGTGCCACTAGTGCACTTAACCCATGGCCTAAGCACCCCAAAATACCTTTTTATCTCTTTCCCAAAGACTTCCTCCCACAGAGGGAATCCAAATCCTTCCTGTGCTTTGCCCCTGCTATTAGTGTCTCCATACATTCTGTATTTTGTCGATAATGTGTTTTTACATCAGCTTGGTATCAAGGGCATATTGTCTGCTGAAACCTGGTGCATCAGTGCCAAATGTTTTTAATTTAATTTGTGCCCAGTTATGTGTCTGCATGTCACCTTTACATGGAAACAGAAAGGGGACACTAGGTAAATCCAATGAGGAAGAATGTGGGAATAATCCTGGCTTCCTTTTGAATAATATACAAGTGTAGGTAAGCATATATACCTATCATAACCTAATTGCTGTTATGATTCATTGTCACTTTCTTTGAGGAGGCAGTAGTATCCAGATGGAGAAGGGATATTGGCTTAGCTGGTGCATCAGGCTGCTCCTGTACGGGAAGTCCTTGATGCCTAGTCAAGCAAGGAGCATTTTTGACCATCTCAAGAAGTGAGAATACTCTTCTGCAAGTCTAGATGTACGGCACGTGCACGGTAGGGTTAAAAGGAGCACTGATACACATTTTTGGCTTCTCAAGTTTTTGAGGAAAGGCCAAGAAAGGGTGGCTGAGATGAGAGAAGAACGAAATTAGCTGGAAAGAACTAGAGCAGGGAAGGGCCAAGAGCATAGAGAGGCAACTCCAGAAACAGGGAAATGCTGATTGAACAGGGCGGAGGTCAGCAAGTTTGATCTCAGATCCATGAGTGCTGTTCCTAAGATGAAACATCAGGAAACATGGCATGGGAAGGGCAACTGATGGGAAGAAGATGTGGGTGTGAGGAATCACGCTGTGGATCTGGCAGAGGTGTGACTTTACAGATGTTCAGCTGTGCCTAACACCCATATCGCAGCTCCAGCTGAAGCACGAGGAAGGGGCTCTGAAGCATGAGGTTCTCTAGCTCCCTGGTGGAAGGTCTGGGCTTTGTCGAACCCTCTTTGGGTCCTGGGAGAGGAATCGTTGGGGGATTAGTTGGAGGAGCTCTGTGCTAACGCCGATGACTCTCCTTCACGTGCCTGGTGCCTTGGCGGTGTCAGGCTACCCAAAGGCGGGAACTGGGGAGGCTGCAGCACCCTTGGCTCTCGCCTGCTCCTGAGCTGGGTAAATCCATCTACTGGATCGCAGCCGTGGGCTGGTGGTTCGGTCTCTCTGTCAGTAACAAAGTGCAGTCTCACAGAACATGATTTGCCTCTGGCAGGCTTTTAAAATATGTGTTTGCTTTTGATTATGTTTTTCTTTTTTATTTTTTTTAAATTAATTTTCCAAGGATCAATGTGGTAATGCATATAAAAATTACAATACGTAAAACAAAGTATAAAAGCATACAAGGAATTCCAAACACATAACATACTGTGCCTTGGAGCTTATGAGATCCATACAACATTTTGCTGTATGATGGGAACGCTCTGACCCCAGGACCCGGGAGAAAGGCTTGTTAGGAAAGCAGGGCTAAGCCATGTGCCTTATGAGCCATAGGATGCCCAGAAGGAAAACCCTAGTGAATAGAAAAGCTGTGTTGTTGCAGCAAGACTCAGATTTGCCTGTGGGAGCTGGGGAGTCTTTCTGTGGCTTTCTATCAACTTCTGGAGAAGGATGTATCGTTTTGCCCCCGCAAATAGTGTTTTCCTAGTAATTAACACTTCGTGTATTTCCAGGGAAAAATCTCTGGCTTTTCATTGGATCAAGATGACTTTTTTTGTTCTCACATCCTGCATCCTAGCAGCTCCCGCGTACAGGAGAAATAACGTGCTTAAGGAAGACTCTTGTCTTGGCCATGGTCAGCGCCCATGTGCACTGATGGTTCCCACCAGAAGACAGTAAGGTTTCCCAGTTAGCACTGGCAAAGCCAAGGTTATAATGGGCTCGAGCAAATTCCTCCAGTCTGGCAGGCGCAGCGGTGTTCAATAGGATGCAAAAGCTATTTGCGACACCCTAATGATATGTAATTGTTTGTATGCGGTCAGCTAAAAATTATCCTGATAGGTTCCACATTGCAGGCGCTTCGGAGAGGAACTGCAGTGATCCCAGGGGTAAATCTGAAGAGGCTCATGCTGTTCAATGTAACAACTTGTGGGTTTTTTTTTGTATGAAAAAAATCATTATCTCCTTTCTAAAGTCCCACGCTCCATGCATAAAAGGATTTTATTTTTATGCATATGTGGAAAGAATTTAGGCAAACCTAGTTAGCTTGAGGTAACTATAAATGAAAATATTTTAAAAAGCCTCTTTTTTTCCCCCTGTATTCTTGGTGATCTGAACAAAACTGTTACTCAGATACTGAATTTCCCATATAACTGAAGTCAATGTACACCCACATGGTGCAGAAGTCAGACACCTAAAGGTTAGAAGAGAGCTCAGCTGCTGTTATTCGGTGGAAGAAGCGTGATGGTTCCAAAATGTATTTAACCTGTCCTGTAATTCTAAGCACAAAGCTGCTCCTATTGCAGCTGTGTGCTTGCAATGCTTGGCTTAGTTTATGGCATCGCTGAGTAGCGCTTTCGCACCTTGAAGCGAAATCATATTTCCACTTGAAAATACTTTTGCATGTGCAAATGTGTGTAGTGTATATGCTGCTGGGAGCATTTAGGAGCCTTGTTTAGAGAACTGTTTTGAGGTAGGAACATGGATTTTCAGTTTGAGACTATCTCAGCTGGGGTTATATCGGCAGTCTCGGCAAGGCTGGTCTCGGTGCCCTTGGACGTGGTTTCTTGCTGGGTGCAACCTCCCCTTTTCTATTTGCAAGAATTTTTAATTTAAAAGTTTTTAGCTGCTAGCTTTGTTTTTTTTGTTTGTTTGTTTTTGTTTTCCTGTGAAACAGATTTGATTTGTTTTTCTTTTTGCCCTGAGATTCAGACTTTAGCAGTAACTTTTTATTTTGAAAGCCATGATTAGAATGTGATTCCTTATTTTCTTCCTGGATTTTTTTTTTTTTAGCTTACAGCTTATATAACTGACATGACAAATCTTTCCTGCCTTGACCGTATGTGATATGGTGGTTGAATGTTTCTTTCCCTCACTTAATTAAATGCAATTGCTTACTTTCAGTTCAGGTCTGTTTAATTTGCTACAATAGCTGATTTTGGCCTCATGCTTAATGGAACTGGTCAAAACTTTTCAAAACTGCCCACACAATGTAAATTCCATCTGGAAAATTGTTTTTGTTCTTATTTGGAATGAAAGCAAGTATCTACAAACATTTCTGCAAACTGGAAATCCAAAATATGTTGTGGTTGCAGTTTTCTGTGCAAAAATATTGATTTTGTAACTTATACACAGACACTTAAACCTTTCAAGCTCCTACCCTTGATTTGTTTTATGATACGGTTGTGTTTGCAATGTGGCATCCCAACAAGAGCCATCCGATGATATCCCAGTAATAGTCACGGACATTAGGACCACTGTCATGTAGTAAGGAACTTGAATCAGCTTGTCCGCTGGTGCAGATCTGCCCATTTGGAAGAAGAGACACGAGGGTAAGAAAAGAGGTAAAAAGGGCAGGACACTTCAAGGCATTTCATCCAGGAACAATCAAAAATGCTCTGGTGCGTCCTGAAAGTGTCTTTGGATATGACAGCAGGACTTGCATATCATGAGCAAATGTCTAAATAATGCAGGAAACACCCAAATGTGGAAACAGGAATCAAAATCCCCCAGATCAGGCAAGCAATGTTGAGATTTTTAAAATGAAATTTCCAGATTTTCTGGCATAGATTCCTGGAAGGAGAACGTGCGTTAAGTTCTCTCTTGGGGGAAAGTGTTTGCAAGCAGCACAGCTTTTATAAGAATATTGTTTATAATAAAATATTTCTGATCAAAAGCAATGTCAATGAAAGACTTCTGAACCGTTTAAAAAGTTTCAGAGATATTTTCCTTTTCTCTCGATTTCTGCTGACTCCAGTCACTAGTGCTGTCAACATTATTTAGAAATGCCATTCTTCAGTGCTCCAGGCTGTTTCCTGATGAAAATAACAGCAGAAAAAACACTACACTGACATCCCGAAGGCTGCCCAGGACTGCTGTGGCCAAGGTGACATTTGCAGACTCGTGGGATTTAGGTGGCTACATTCCCTCGTTAGCAGCTATTTTTTTTAATCGGCTTATGGCACTCTTTCATGGCAAAACATAAGACTTTGAGCAGGGCTGATCTACCCAGCGGAGCTCTGGGCTAATAGGGATATTTTGCTTCTTCTACCCAAGTAACTCCCGTAGATATCTGGACCTAACTGTGTTGTGCTGTCCCAGATGTGCCAGAAAAGGAGATCTCAAACTCCCCTTTCTCGAGCTGTGCTGAGCTTGCGCTGGCCAGATATGTCCTGTGAAGGGGGTGACTCACGTCCTTGCTCTATGCCAGCCAGTGGCGGAGGTGAAGTAGCCAACGATGACCTGAACATGAGTCACTGGAAGGCAGCGGCAGTTGCCTGCAACTTTCCGTTTCTTGGCCCTTCTATTTTTGGGTCCAGCAATTACGAGGTGAGCTGTGAATCACTGGTGTCTCGATTTACTCCAGGAAGAAACCAAGCAAATTGTGTTAACGTGCTTGGCAAGAAGGACTCTTGTTCTCTAGCGTTTTACAGGTCTTGGCCTTTCTTCTTGCTCCCCAGAGCTCTGTGTTGAACCATAGCACAGGAACTGAGCGAGGGCCAGGCGGCCTCGGCTTGGTGCTCCTTCCATGCCTGTGTCTCGTCGGGGACAGGAACTGATGCTTCAAAGGCCTGGAGGGAAATCCCGAGAGGTTCCAAAGGCTTTTATTTATTTGTTTGTCCTTGAGAAGAGTGTGGTCCATGTGGCAGAGTTTAGATCAGAAAATAGCATTGAATGGGTAACTCAGAGGAGGTCAAAGAGCCATATCAATGTTGAGGATGTTGAGTATGTTGACATTTATGGGAGCTTGTCTTGCAACATTTCTGCTATTCAAGGCAATGATTTTGCCCTGAGGCTTATTCCCTACTGTTTGCTCTGTTACATGATCCACAGCAGCACATCTACATCAAAACCCTCCAGTAGAGCTAGTGGGGGTGTCACTGGCCCTTTTGGGGGCCTTTATGATGAGTCAAGAGAGACACAGGGAAGAGTTTTGTGCTTCCTTGCATGCAGTGGACCCTGTCATGACCCCAAACTTGATCTTCTGCACAAACCACATACCACCCCTCTGTTTTACTGCCTCTTCTTGTCCTACTTAAGCAAGGTGACTCAATAGATTCACCTGCTGTCCCTTGTTTCAATGCTTCAGAACTCCTGAGCACGTTTGCTTCTCTGGCCCATCCTGCCTCTGCAAGTCCCTTCCAATCTCAGCTTTAAAATTCAATGTGCCTGTTTAAAACTCATCTCCAAACACTTCCTCTCACATACAAGAAAACTGAGTATATGTATATATATATTGTATCCAGGAATTCCCAGACTGGAAAGAAATCCGTCAAGGATTGTCAGGCTGCTTGAGGAGAGGAGACGGAGGAACTGTAAACTGTAGGAATTTGAAAACCCTACTTTAATTTAACAGGAATGTCCTTTTATTCCCCAACGGGTGGGCCCAGATCCAAAGGCATTCAGGTGCAGTAACCATGACCAGATGGGCTGTGAAAAGCAACACAAACAGGTGGCCAGGACAACAACTGTAGATTTTAATTTCCTTGTCAGCTTCTCTGTGGCTTATGTGGCCCCTCAAGAGCATGAGGATAAGGGGGACTGTCATATTTCTATATGACAAACTCAATGACTGTCAAGAGGTCACTCTATAACTGTGTATTGTGGGTGAAGCCATTAGAGTCTCACTGGTGAGACTATCATCTGCTCTAATATGTATTTTAGTTACCATGAATATGGTATCAAAAATAATATACTAGCATGTCCATTTTATAGATATAAATAATATAGATAGATAGATTTGAATGCTTATTGATCTGCATATTGGGTCAGACCCTCAGGTGTAACTGCTGGGGATTCTGTTGGCCATAGGATCTTTGAAGGCATTAAAAGAGCATTGAAAGTCTTGCTGGGTTTGGTAAGACTCGGCACTGATATTTGCTTAAGTGAATGGCTGTGGCTTAGGCAGCTGGAAATCCCCTTTCTCTGTGCCTTGGCTGAGCAGGCTGGTGTAGGTGTGTGACCGCCTGCGGATAGTCCTCATGTTGGGGCTTGCTTTGCTCATGCCCATTCCTGTTACTGCGGAAAGCTCAGGAGGCTCCTGAGCTTCTGGGAGGGACAATGTTCCATCCAGGCTGACTCGCAGATGCATGGGCATCTCTTTCCATTCCCAACTTCTTCCATGCAAGGGGTCTTCTTTCTCATAGTTTTAAAGTGTTCGTTTATGTTTAGTCTATTCATGCAGAAAATGCCCTGAAGGGACAGACGATGGAAGCATTTTTTATTTTCCATTTCAGTGGTGTGTTGGAAATTTTTCCACTCCTGCCCATGTGTAAAGATGGGTCATTTTTCCTAAAATCTGGGGAATGGAGCACATAAAAAGGGGTGAATTCAAGCCAACGACATACCAGTCCTGCAATCTGAACAAGCTGTATATGTAAGGCACGTATGGCATTGCAATGACTCTTACAGGTTGGTGCCTTGCTCTCTGCTTTCTTTGGACATGGTTTCACACTCAGTGTTTGTTGTGCTACTCATATAGACGATGAAACCCTGGAGCCATCGCTCACTGCTTGCCAGCACCTGCTGATGCCCATGCATTAACAGCTCCACCCCTGCTGCTAGATTGAAATGTGCAGCAGCAACAAAAAAGGAGAGGGGCTGCTGAGTGGGTATTTGCCATGGCCGGGAATGCCTTTTCACAGTTATCTCGGCACTGATGTTACTACAGTAACTTTAGGCAGTAAAGACAGCTACGAGCCTATGGATATCCTGATTTAGTGACAGACTAAATACAAGTAACGCACAAAACAAGATGTTTTTATGGGATGCACACCTTGTTGTTCACCACAGAGAACAGCATTACCTTGGCTATAATCAAGCCTAGTTGTAATAGCTTTCTTTGCACTATTGACAGGCAAGAGTACCTTGATGCAGTCAGAAAGAGATGGTGCTGGAGTTGTGGTCACCGCTGAAAGCTGTACCGTGTTTCTGCAAGTCCTTGGAAATGTAAAGGCCAAAGAAAAGGACTTTGTGACTTTTTTTTTTTGGTAGTCAGGAAAAATAGTGTTGTAGGAAATAGGAGATATGTTTTGGAGTTTTTCATTTGTTTCTTTAGAGATAAAGAGACTGAGGCATGAGACAGCTTGAGAGAGTTGCCCCAAGTCTTGTGCACTTCAACTAGGAAGGGAATGCTTGGGTCAACACACTTCCTATCTTCTTGTTCCTAACCTGATGCCATTAAAGGGCAAACCAGTCCATACTTCCTGATGAAGACTAGAGAAAGCGGACAGCAGCGTAGTGAAGAACACAGCGGATCTCTGGCTGAAGGGTGGGATGCGTAGGTTTGGTCTGCAGGCATGTGCAGTGGGTGTGATTCTTCGTTTATGTCAAGCCTCCCTTGAAATAGTGCTGTGAACCTGAACTGAAGACACAGCATGCAAAGCCAGTGCACTTGCTGCATGCATAAAAGATGTGTACATGTGGAATGCGGACAAGGAAACAGGAAAAATCTCTTCTCCCAAAGTGGCCCATTCATGTTGGTGTTCAGACTATTTTTTTTCTGCAAGTCCATTTGACCATGAACTTTGCAGAACAGAGGATGGGAGGAGGGGAAGGAATGTCTGATCAAGAAAAGCTGTTGTACTTATACCCCTATCCACTAATAGAAAGAAAGATGAATTTAAAGTCTTGCTCTGGGATTTTGGTGTTGTATCTCATCCATAGGACAAAGTACTACAGAGATGAGCAGGACTGAAAGATACGTGCTAGTGGTGGTCAAGGTGTGGCGACGACATTGTGCAAGCCCTCTCCTATACTCAGTGAGCTCCGTCCTAAAACCACTGAAGTCATTCACTCTCTTTCCACAGGCTTTTTACTTTTTCAGTCTTTCACCTCTCCACTTGTCTTTTCTAGATGATCAGCTGAACTCTGAAGAGAAGAAGAAGAGAAAGCAGAGAAGGAACAGGACTACCTTCAACAGCAGCCAGCTCCAGGCATTAGAGAGAGTTTTTGAGCGGACACATTACCCTGATGCCTTTGTACGGGAAGACCTTGCACGCAGAGTCAACCTAACTGAAGCAAGGGTCCAGGTAATTCCCCATAGCTTATGCCCACGTACACCTTGCCTTGGTGCTGTCATCAGGCCATTCTAGTATGGCAAGAGAGATCATCACAGACTGCCTGGCACATTTGGGTGACCAAGCTTCTGGGCCACTCATACTGAAGTCCTGAGCATACTATGCCTTGAAAAGGAGGGCTGCCTCGCCTGGCCTGGCCTGCAACCATACGTCACATCTGCTCTTTCGAACATGTTCATGGTCCTCTGGAGGCCAAGATGTTGTCTGTGGCGTGAGTGTCCTGTGCTCAGATTGTGTACATTATTTTGAGTTTCACTGCTCTTGGCTTGCAAGTGTGCAGACTGGGGAACATGCTGAGTTGTACAGCACTCACAGACCTTGCTACCTATTGTGAACTCTAACTTAGCCCTTCAGGGACCTCACTGAGCTTGTTTCCTGTGCCAGGGCTCTGACAGGGCAGAGAGACGTGTTGTCTTGTCATGATACTTTTTGATGACGGACATGTCACAGCAACCTGCTTCTGCAAAGTCCCTTCTTGCCGCGTGGGGCTGAAGGGATATGGTGAAGAGGCAAGTGTCATGGCAGAGCTGTTGTGATGGCTGGTGTGTCTGTGTGCTCCCCGTTGCAGGTGTGGTTCCAGAACCGGAGAGCAAAGTTTCGCCGGAATGAGCGGGCCATGCTGGCCAGCAAGAACGCCTCTCTGCTCAAATCCTACTCAGGGGACGTGACTGCTGTGGAGCAGCCCATCGTACCTCGTCCAGCTCCAAGACCCACCGACTATCTCTCCTGGGGTACTGCCTCTCCTTACAGGTGAGTGAGTGAGCCCTCTTGGACTGGCCAGCTTCTCCAGGCCTTGGCTGGCTGCTGCTTTCAGGATGACCTGGCAGTTCCCTCTGCGGGACTGCATCCGATAATCTAGATTACTTGTAGTTATCTAAAAGTGGGAGCTTGGTGCTGAAGTGGGAGCTTGGTGCTGGGAGCTTGGGCCTGAAGTGGGAGCTTGGTGCTATTTGCTATGTGCAGTGGTTTGCCCACAGTGAGGAGCAGGTGTGCCTGAGTGGCAGACTGGGGTCAACATTCATCCTCAGTGGCCACCATTGCTTGAACGGTGGTGGTAAAAGGAGGGCTTGATAACCCTCAGTCTGCTCAAAGGAGCTGGGATATTCCTAAAGTTCAGAAGCCTCCCTGCCCTTCTCTGCCCCATCTACAACCCGGCAGGCACTGGGTGTGGATGCAGATCCACAGGATGTGCTGGTTTGTGGGGAGCCAGCTGACATGTGGGCAGTTGCAAGTGAAGTTGGTGGGTAATTTTTAGCACAGTGGCTTCAGTTTTGGTCAGCACCTCAAAGACTCTGGCTGGGTTTCTTCCTGTTCAGCTGTCTCGGTCATAACCAACTTCCCCCTGTCTATTGGGAGCTGCGTCAGGCCAAGGGCCTCTCTCGCTCAGTCATTTTGGAGACCTTCTCTCACTTCAAACTTCATCTGCCCAGTGAGGTCTGCAAAGATGTGGCCTCCCTCATAGTTGGTTGCTTTAGTCCTATGGGATCATTCTCTTCCACATGTAACTTCAGAAGAAAGAAACTCTTAAAGTGTTAAGTACATCCACCATACTGCAAAGGATGCTTTTGCTGGCCACCATCTTGGTCTTGGAGATGGCCCTTGTCCTTTGGATTTAATCTGAGAATTGTTTTCTAGCAAAGCCCCGCTTTTAGGGCTAAGGCTTTCTCCCTGTGAAGTGCTCCTTGGTGGTGCGTCTAGGCAGGAGTTGGGGTGGTAAAGAGTTCAGGGGAGACAAGTGCAGCTACGAACTCCTTCCCTACCCTGCTAAGACTGCTCTGGTCACAGTACCAGATCGCTACTGAACGCTTGTGGCTTATTTCTACCTCTCACACTTTTAAAAATAGATCATCCCTCCCAAGATGTTGTTTACACGAGGGGCTTCATAATGGCTTCTAGGAGAAGACCCTACAAAGGTAACTTCCAGGGACAAACTGGGAAGGGCTCTCTGGGGCTGCTCTGTGCAATAAGAAGCCCAAGGTGGCTGGGACATGCAAAGGAGGAGAGAAAGAGAGAAGAGAAATCCTTAGGGATGAATTTTTCCGCTTCAGGTAGGGGCCCCAAAGTCCAGCACACATGCACAAGTACACTTTAGTGGAAATGGGTTTTAGCAAAGAGATTTGCAGTGTAAAGCCATGGGCACAACTTAAAGCCATTACCACTGGCTGAAGTGCCAATGTGGACTGTCTTCTTCCTACCACCCCTGAAGTGGGGCAGAGAGGTATTAACAGAGGAGCAGAGCAGCGAGTTTCAGCAATGTGGGATGGGTAGGACCCTTGAGCAGGTTATACCTCTCCAGGCTTCAGCCCAAGCTTCAGGAATGATGACCTAGTCTTGTATTACTGCCCTAGCCCAAGAGGTCAAAAACACAGTAAATTGAGGCAGATGATTGAGTGACTTGATTGTGGCTGCAGATAATCTCAGTAGCAAGGTCAGACATAAAAATAATGTCTTTACTTCTAACCCCTCAGGCATCTACCAATCAAACTCATGTTAACGGACGCTGAGCCCAGGTTCTCACTGACTCATTTAGGCTTTGAAATGGGTAGGGTGGTTGAACTGTTGGTGATAAATAAATCTGCAGACTGTTTGCCGAGCGCCTGCTCCCTCCCCGTCTCCTCAGGCTCGCCTCACAACTGCCCCATTGCCCGTTGGTCCATGATAGGGCTGAGAGCACGTGTGATATCTGCGTGGCCATTGCTGTTATTGTTAGATCGGGGTGGGGAGAAAGTTTTCAATCAGTGTGTTTATTTTGCAAATACAATCAGCCGCAGGTCAGCCAAAGCTATTTGCGGATCTATGCCACATAGATAGCCAAGTAGATACTATTATTTTTTTGAAGTTGAAATGTTTTGGTTAGACATTTTTTAGTAAAGGTTCCTAAGAAAACAAAGTTCGCAGTTGTGCTGTCAGTCTGCACTTCCCACTCTTAACAACCTCTGACTCCAGAGGCCATTGAAAATCATATTTTTAAGAAGGATTTTAGGTCTCAAAAACATTATGTTCCTCTGTGTTTCTTGAAAGCAAGCAGCTGAGGAGAAGAGAGCCTCTTTTTTGTGTGTCTGAACTGAGTGGAGAGGGCTGCAGGGTGATCTCAAACCATGTTGGACACCAGAGAGTTGTCCAATGCTGTAACAATGATTTGGAGACAGCCTGCATGGGTGCTGCTCCTTGTGGAATAACTTGCCAAAACACAGGGTTTCTGTAGAGTTTTGGTCTACTAGAGTTTTCATTGTCCAACAGTCATTTTCCCCACAACTTTTCTGGGATAAGAGCAGCAGGCTCCCTGGAATTTTATATCAGACTTGGGTAGTGATAATGAATGGGTTTGGGGAGAAAAATAAAATAAAATAAAATAAAATAAAATAAAATAAAATTTTATGGGAAGACCTGAGCCTCAGCAGGGGAGATATTGGAGTAACCTTAAATAGAGACAACACTTAATTAACATCAGCATGGGGACAAGGTACACCTATGGCCCAAAGTTCCTATTTTATCTAGACTGGAGCATTTATGTCTGTACTCTATGCTATTCCAATACCCGTCCAGGACTCTTGTCTCTAAACGGCCTGACTGTCTGCTCTCCTGGTGCAAGTGCGCAAGCCAGCATGTTCACTAACATAGGGTTGTATTTCCACCGGTGCCCATGGAGATGTGACACTTTCTGCCTCAGGGAAGTCTTATCTCTGTTATAAAATGAGACATAAGCATTCAGTGGCCTAGGACAGGGACTAGTAATATCACTGGTCTCCTGAAAGACTAGGATCTCCTAAAAGACTCAAGATTCAGGCAGTGCCAAATCGCGTTTGAAATTCTGGCAGGGCAGCTCAGCCCCATGAAGTCAGTGCTATCATGAGCGTTTTGGAAGGAGCAAACACACCCTCCGCCTGGAGCTTTGTGTGCAGCAAACGCCCACATCCCTCCAGGAAGACTGGCTGTTGCAAAGACTCTTCCAGTCATAGAGGTCAGCACTGGAGTTAAAAAGGCAAACAGACTATCTCATTTCTTGTGCAGTGGGTGGAGGAGCGCTCTCTAGAGCCTTTCCCAGACATGAGCCACCCACAAAGGCAGTTTGCGAAGATTTGCACCACACCTGAGCTGTCATCCAGGACCTTTGTGGTTTCCTCCAGAACATACTGGGTGATGTCTCTAGTTTGCTTAGTGTTTCTCGAGAATTTTTGATCTGTGAACACACATATGAGGAAGGCAACAGAGCAGAGATTTTGCTTTTTTGGTGGGCAAGGGGGTACTTGTCACCAAAGTCTGGGACACCTGTGTTAACCAAGTGTTCTGGCTGGCTGAAAAGGAGATTTGCAAGTTTTTGTTAGAATAAGAAAGGATTCTGACATCTCTGCCCGTCATCCACTGCCAAAAGTAATGTTTTTCACAAATAAAGACAAAATGTTTTTTGTCGTGTGTGATTTTTTTTCCTCAGCCTTTAAGGCATGTTCTACATGATCAGCTGAGGTTTTGAGGGAAGAATGTGGGACTTTTCATTCCAAAATGCTGAAACAACGGAGCCTCACAATTGTTAAAATGTTTTTTTCCCAGAATGATTCTTTGAAGCAACATGTGTTTCAGAAAAGACATGATTTCACAAACAATAAAAATAATAGCTGGCCTCATCAAAAAGACATTTCTTGCAATGGAAATACTTTTAAGGACAATGCTGTAATTGGCAGACTGGGCACTGTGACCTCATTGAAACCCTTTAGATCAAAAATGGGAAATGGAAATTTTCCTGTTGTTTTAAACCACCTTAGGAATGGGTAATGCCCAAGTAAGTGAGTTGAAGCAGAGAGATTTATTGGGATGTGACCTCTGACGTGATGTTTCTCTCTCTCTTTGTCCTGCAGTGCCATGGCCACCTACTCTGCCACGTGTACCAACGCCAGCCCCGCACAGGGCATGAACATGGCCAACAGTATTGCCAACCTGAGACTGAAGGCAAAGGAATATAGTTTACAGAGGAATCAAGTGCCCACAGTCAATTAATGACTGGAGGCAGCTGCCTTGCAGAAGGAGAAAACACAACAGCACCCGTCCTGCTTCGCAATTTGTTTGCGCTGAATCAAAAAGAAAAAGAAAAAGAAAAAAAGAAAAAAAAAAGAAAAAAAAAAGGCCAACCCTCAACCCAGAAATGAACACTGGGACCAAAGTAGGAGCAAACAAAACCGCTCACAAGTGACAAGGTTCCTCCTTCCTTTTGGGATAATGCCACCATTTGTTTTATTTTCTTCTAAATGTCAGGTTTTATTGCTTCTGCTCAGTATACTACGAGCTTCTTCAGTTAAAGACAGTCTCACCCTTGTTGCTTTCCGTTTTTATATGGGACTGCAAAAAGAAACGGCTGCTGACTTCAGCCTGCAATCACCTCCATACATCATGCTGAGATGCAAAGCTTGCTCCTTCCTCCCCCTACCCCAGCTCACCTTCGAAGAAGAAATTCTTCTGTCACCGCTCCTGATGTATCCACATGACCCTTGAGTGCTTGTGCCATGGAGGCAGAGGTGTTTACTCTTGGACTGCAACAAACCTATCAAGGCAACATGAAGGGATCCTCCTTCTCAGGTTGCCTGGACCAGTCTGATACATGAGGAAGACCTCCAAGGCCTTCGCAGCGCTTCACTGCTTTCTTGAGTAGTCCCAGCCTTGCCATCGTAAAAAGCCAAAGAAAAGAGAAAAGCCAACATGCGTGTGTGAGTGTGCGTGGGGGATGTAGTGGGGGGGTTGCTCTGTAGTGCCAAGAATAGGACTGTTAGGACACTCCTTTCCATGCCTTACAGTTTGTGCCACAGGGAAAGGTGTTGTCCAGATGCATTTGTTTTATATATACTGTATATATTTATATATATAAGATATACATGCAAGCTTGGTTGGTGTTTTTTATTAAACAAAATAAAATCAATTGAAAATGTTTGGGATGTTTGTGCTGCATCCAGGTTTCTGGAGCTGTGCATTGAAATGCCACCTGCTGTTATCAGCCCTGCTCTTGGTTGCCTTGGACAGTACTTGAAATGGCCAGTTCTTGTCTTCCCATGGGAAAACTTGGAAGTAGAGGAGGAGGGAGCCATGTTTCTTTGCAGATTTTCCCTGTGGGCATTTGCATCTTCATGGAATAAGGGAAGAGTCTCACCTGCCAGCCAGATAGATAGATCCATATGCCTCTTGCAAGTGCACAAGGAGGTCCCCATGGAAAGTCTCTCCTATCCCCTGTGAGGAGGGGTATTTTCTCTGTATGTAACACATCCTGCACAAACACTGCCTCTCCTGCCCGTCTCCCATTACACCGTCTAGAGAGACTGGTCTTGTTGCCTTAACTTCCCTCCTTTGATCTCCCTCATTGCTTTCCACTGAAGAACTGGACCCCATGAATCTAGTTTCCTTCTCTCTTATGAAGACTAGGGAAGAAGCAACCCAAAAGGGTTTCCATGCCAGAGGATGTACTGACGGTCTGGAGGATGAGGATTTCATGATGCTGGTGGTGCCTGCCTCTCTGGATCTCTTGCTTGTGCAAGAGATCTCCCCTAGACTAGTCCCCATGAAGATGGTGTTCCAGTTGCCTCACTGCTACTCAATGGTCCAGACTGGGTGATAGGGAATGAAGCTCAGTCATTAGGATTGTTTCCACAGAGTCTGATGGGTCTCTGTCTTGGTGTTTGTCACAGCCACGTTTGACATATGTAGGAGTCTGTGGGCTTTGGTAGTCTAAAATAGCATGTTGCAGGAAATGAGAAATAAATCTCTTTAAACTGAAGGCGAATTAAACTTGCAAAAATATGACTGGAAATCCAGCCAAAGAATTTGTGCTAACACTTGAAAAAGAAAAGCCCCAAATCTCAAACTGGTGTAAGTTGTGCTAGTGCTAGCAATTGCACATGGTGCTGATGGATTCTTTTGTTTCTGTGCCCTGGATGTTTTTGAAGGATTGTGATCAGGACAAAAAGCTGAAAATTGCAAATTATGTTTGCAAACAAAACAAATAAACAGAAAAAAATATGTGGTTGAACAGGAGTTGCATTTTGAGAAATCTGTGATATTGTATTTTGACAGCTTTCGCCCCCTTCCCGCCCCACTTTTTTTTTTGCCTTTTCTTCTGCAGTACAAAGGCATTAGCATTTCTAAACAAAAATGTTTCTGTCTTGATTAGTGTGTCTCCAGCTCTGGAGGTAAGTGATGACATTGGAAATCTCAGTTTTCACTTAGAAATTCATCCTTGGTTTGTGTGCCTACAGCAACAGAAGAACATTGGAGAACATGCAGGATCAGAAAGAAAAAGAATTGGGTTCAATGTAAAGTTTAATCAACTCCATGATTTCTGATGTTGCGTGAATGTCCATCTCCAAAGTTTCAGTTGACTCTTTTGGCCTTTTGGTGGCTTGTGGCATTTCCCTAGTCTATGCTCACCTTATCCATGTGCAGAAAAATCACCCTGAGCAGCCTTTTTGAATGTAAGGACCCCCTTTTATAAGCAAGCAAGGAGACTGTTCAAAGAGCATGAAATTAGTTGGTACCCCGTTATCCATCTGTGGATGGGCATATCCATATCTAGCCCCATACTGTGAGGTTTACATGAAGGGGCTGACATAAATGTCAGCGCAAAACACTTGCTCGCCTGCCTCAGTTTACGTGTGTGAGGAACTGCACTGACCTGCATGGAGCAGCTCCTACGGGAGGGCTGTGTAAGCTTTTGCACTTCCAGTTTTAGTCAGGTCTTGCAAGGTCCCTGGCTTGGGCTGTCTGATTTTGGGGGTGCCATCCTGCTAGCTGATTGGGCTTCCATCAGTCCAGACAAGACCTTTTCATCATGTTCGAGGTGGCTCACCCAATGACACCCAGATGTAAACAAGAGCGTTCAAGTCAATATGTCCTCATTCACATGTATTTGCTGAATGGAGTCCAGATCAATCAATGGACGGGTTTTGTTTGTTTCTGAATTGCTGATGACCTCAACCAACAGGCAATGTCTAGTTGTCTATCAAGCCAAAGCAAAATATTATGATCATGTATGTTTAAGCTGTATTTTATTGAACTGTGTAAATATACGTGGGATTTAAGGGCCTTATACTGAAAGCATGGAGTTCTCTGGGGTTTTAATAGTCTTTTGATCGCAGCTCCTAGGAAGCTGCCTGTTAACCCTAGTTATCACAAGGTTTGGGTACTGTTTAGGGGAGAAAATGGCCTTGAGGCATATTTCTCTTGCCTGCTCTATACAAACACTGATTTGTCAGCTCCTCTTTCTTGATGCAGAAAGAAGATGGCTGAGTCACTCTAAGAGAGTTTTTTTGAGTGTGATGAAGATGGATGTTTGGTGAGGCTGGTGGAGCTTGGTGTGTGAAGCCACAGGAGGGATTCCCAGATGGAAATGTATCCTGTAAATTATCTTTTGCTTTGTGATGTAAAATGTACAGTGTTTGCACTAGAATAGAGATGATCATTTTCAATAAAAGAGGGAAAAGTCTCCCTAATCCTTTCTATAAGGTGCCACATCCATGTCATGTGTTGCTGTCCTGACATTGCCTCTACAACACTAGCTGGGGCTGGGATCCCAGAGCACTGGGTCACACATGGCATTGGGCTGCCACAGATGCACAGAGGGCTACTGGATGCAGGTTTAACAAGAGGGTAAAGCAGGAAGCATCCACAAAGATTTCTACTAAAAGAGGTGTTTTTCAGGAAGAGAAAAGTGACTCTGCCCATGGCTTTTCCCCTAGTTCCCTCCATTGCATGGGGCTGTCGAGACAGCATGGGGACAGGAGGCATGTAGGGGCTTTTCCTGCAGAGAAAAGAGGGACAAGTAGTGCTGGAGATCCTGACATGGGGAGAGGGGTGAACAGCAGATGAACACAAATTAGGAATAGGAAAGGGAGCCCCACTGCCTAGGTGGGGGCAAAAGGAATGAGCTTAGGAGGGAAGAGGCTCCACAGCAAAGCAAGGGAGACCATCAGAAGGAGCCAACTGCCTAACGATGACTAATTAGTGCAGCAGCCTATAAAGACACAAACGAGGGCAAGGTGGGAGGGTTTTCTTGGAGATACGAGCTAAGCTGGAGCAGGCTGGGCTGGAGATGGTGAGTTATGCTTCAGAAATTTAGTGTTTGCTGTGGTGGAAAAAGCCACCAGAAGTGGGACTGCAACCTTCGCAACCCTGGCAGAGGTTTGGAGCGGGTGCTGAGGTTGGCCTGAAGCCCTGCCCTCCCTTTGTCCTGTGCTGCTGGGAAAGCTCAAGATGCTTAAAGCACAGGAGGGGAAGGAAAGCCAAGTAGCCGTAGAGCTCTCCTGGTGTCAGAGAGCACCTGTGGAGCATGTCGGGTCCGTGTGCTGCCCGGGAGGCAGCTCAGCCCCTGTGTGGTTGAGTGAGCACAACTCTGGAGAGGAAGAGGAGAAATCAGGAGCATGGGGCCCTACTAGCCGGGTCCATGCACCTGTGGCACAGTGGCAGTGGAGGCAGCAAGTTTCTGCTTCCTTGGGGGTTTTTTTGTGTGTATTTTTTTTTCCCTTTGCTTGCTGTCAGCATTTTTCACAAAAAGGGACTGTGTTATACTAAATAATACCCAATGCACTTCCTTATTTTGTGGTCTCTGTAGCTCTTTGCCTTTTAGGCAATGGCTTTCAAAGTAGCGGGGGTGACTTAAACCTTATTTTCCTGCAGTTGTCCATAGGGCAGAGAGAGATGCAGAGAGAGTTAGCAGCAGGCTCAAAGATGACAAATGGCAACCAGAATCTTATGCCTCATCCTTCTTCTTTAACTTCTATTTTTTTTAAAGATTAGAGTTACTCTTTCCAGTGTCTTGGCCAAATCTTGCTCTCTGTCTAGCTCAAGTCCCTCAGCAGCTTTGCACAGACACTGTTTTCCTCTGCTTCCTGCCTTTGCTTCCAGAGTGATGCCAGATGTTGTCTCGCAGTTGCTGTTTTCCAGCCCAGAGGTGCTTTTGGCGTGGGCCTGGGTGGAGCCAGCCCTGAGAACGGGAGGTGCTAAAGTTAGGCACGCTATAAACGCAGGCCGGGGCGCTGCAAGCGCCACGCTCCCGCAACGCATCGCGGGCGGGCGGCCAACCCGGAGCCGGCGCGTGTGGAGGAGAGCAGCTTTC